CCTGCCAGAAAGCTATATCAATATACGTATTTCCTCAACTGGATGGCTAGATAGCTTCAGTTAGGGAGCCAATGAAAATGAGAGAGAAATAACTGTCAGAAAGCTGGGAGAACTTGACAGTGACTCAGTGAAGGGAAGGAGCAAAAGTGAAAAACAGCTTAAGGTCCAACAAAATGCGGCCCCCTTCATCAAGGTGGTCTTATTTCTTTGGTATTTATTTGTTTATTTATTTTGAGCTCTTGCTCTGTCACCCAGGCTGGAGTGCAGTGGTGTGATCATAGTTCGCTGCAACTTCGAATTCCTGGGCTGATGTGATCCTCCCATCTCAGCCCCGCAGATAGCTGGGACTACAGCCATACACCACCACACCTGGCTAATTTTTAAGATTATTTTTTGTAGAGACCAGATCTCACTATGTTGTCCAGTCTGATTTTTTTTCTTTTTCTTTGTTTCTTTTTTTGAGACAGAGTCTCACTTCGTTACCCAGGCTGGAGTACAGTGGTTCGATCTCGGCTCACTGCAACCTCTGCCACTCAGGTTAAAGTGACTCTCGTGCCTCAGCCTCCAGTGTAGCTGGGATTACAGGCGCCCACCACCATGCCTGGCTAATTTTGTATTTTTAGTAGAGACAGTTTCGCCATGTTGGCCAAGCTGGTCTCGAACTCCTGACCTCAAATGATCTGCCCACCTTGGCCTCCCAAAGTGCTGAGATTATAGGCATGAGCCATGGCACCTGGCCCAGTCTTAGTTTGTGTTACTCCTGCTTCATTTTGCCACTTACTGGCTGTGGTGACTTAGGCATGTTACCAGCCTGGGCAACAAGAGTGAAACTCTGTCTCAAAAAAAAAAAGACGACAATGCGAGTAAAATATCAGAGCAGGGCCTAGCATATCTTAAATTCTCAGTAACCCTTAGCTACATATTGTTATACTCCCAGGCTTTTGCTCCAACTAAGTTGCACATCTTCATCTCAGATTCCGAGTCCTTGCTCATGATGTTCCTTCTGCCTGGAATACCCTTTCCAGCCTCTTCTGCCTACACATGCTTCAGCATCCTAGTCAGGCCCTCCTTTCTCCACAAGGCCTTCTCTATACTAATACAGCATTTACCACCGGTTCATCTCATCCCAATTAAATAACAATGTTAAATATTTTCTGGGTTTATGTCTACTTCTCCAGGGAAGAAGCTGTTTCTTAACCTTTTGTGTTTTTTAGTTCAGAATACAGGGCTACACTGCATATGTTCAGTAAATCCTGCTTGAAGAAAGAAAAGAAGGAATAAAAGACTGGATTCTGGGCAGATAAACAAGTCACCTGAACCTTTTAGGCAGTGGTTCTCAACTCTGATTTCTCAGTATGCAGAGAGGTATTGCCAGGGTGATCACAAAATGCTTCATAAATTCTCAAAAAAAGATCTTTTTCTTTTTTTTTTTTTTTTTTTTTTTGAGACGGAGTTTCGCTCTTGTTACCCAGGCTGGAGTGCAATGGCGCGATCTCGGCTCACCGCAACCTCCGCCTCCTGGGTTAAGGCAATTCTCCTGCCTCAGCCTCCTGAGTAGCTGGGATTACAGGCACGCGCCACCATACCCAGCTGATTTTTTGTATTTTTAGTGGAGACGGGGTTTCACCATGTCGACCAGGATGGTCTCGAACTCTCGACCTCGTGATCCACCCACCTCAGCCTCCCAAAGTGCTAGGATTACAGGCTTGAGCCACCGCGCCCGGCAAAAAAAGATCATTTTTAACCATACTTCTTCAGAAAAGTAGTCTCAGGCATTACCTGGAACCCCATTATGCTTTCACCTTCTTGACTGCTGAGTTCAAGGGTCACAAAGGTAAAGGATGGCCGGGTGCAGTGGCTCACGCCTGGCCAACATGATGAAACCTTGTCTCTACTAAAAATGCAAAAATTAGCTGGGCGAGGTGGCACACGCCTGTACTCCCAGCTACTCAGGAGGCTGAGGCAAAAGAATTGCTTGAACCCAAGAGGCGGAGGTTGCAGTGAGCTGAGATCACATCACTGCCATGCAGCCTGGTGACAGAGCGAGACTCCATTTCAAAAAAAGAAAAAGAAAAAAAAAAAGGTGAGGGACATGAAGAGGCAACTTCGATATGTAAGGAAATCTGATCTGGACTACTACAGATATGCTACTACTATGCCTCCAGCTTCAGGAAGTCCTGTGAAAACAATCCCAGAAAGTTTGCACTGCTGATGCTTTCAGTGGAGTGGTGAGGAAAGAAATGATAAGGAAGCAAAGCCAGTGAGAAATGGCCAATGAATAAAAAACATTTACTGAGTGCCTATTCCACATCCAGCACAATCCTTGTCAACCATCCTGTCAGGGAGGTATCATTATCCCCAGATGGATCTGACTTCTTTTTTTTTTTTTTTTTTTTTTTTTTTTGAGACGGAGTTTCGCCCTTGTTACCCAGGCTGGAGTGCAATGGCGCGATCTCGGCTCACTGCAACCTCTGCCTCCTGGGCTCAGGCAATTCTCCTGCCTCAGCCTCCTGAGTAGCTGGGATTACAGGCACGCGCCACCATGCCCAGCTAATTTTTTGCACTTTTAGTAGAGACGGGGTTTCACCATGTTGACCAGGATGGTCTCGATCTCTTGACCTCGTGATCCACCCGCCTCGGCCTCCCAAAGTGCTGGGATTACAGGCTTGAGCCACCGCGCCCGGCGATGGATCTGACTTCTAAGCCGAATCCTCACTGCCTGTTTTGTTGATGGCAAATGATGCTGCAACTGGGAGGTGTTTGCATGGCCAAGTGAATATGCCCACCTGCTGCACACAAGCAATGGCTTTTTTTTTTTTTTTGAGAGCCAAGAGGGACCTCAAAGGAATAAAGATAATAAAGGGAGGAAGTGAGGGTTTAGAGGTAAGCCTCAAGCCTAGAAAGTTACTTACAGGATGTAGTTTAAGGGAAAACAATGAGTTCTCCTTGTCCTGAAATATCTCCCTGGCTAACATATTACGGTGCTAGGAATCATCACCATTATGATTTTATGGTTAAAGGTTAATACTGTAAGATATATGTATTACTGCTGGGCACAGTGGCTCACATCTGTAATTCTAGCACTTTGGGGAGCAAAGGCAGGAGCCCAGGAGTTCAAGACCAGCCTGGGCAACACAGCAAGACTCTGTCTCTACAAAAAATACCAACGTTAGCCAGGCATAGTGGCATGCACCTGTAGTCCCTCCCAACTTCTCCAGAGGCTGAGGTGGGAGGATCACTTGAGCCCAGGAGGTTGGGAGCCAAGTTTGCACCACTGCACTCCAGCATGGGCGACAGAGCAAGATCCTGTCTCTTTAAAAAATACATGTATTACCCGATTACCTGGGAAGGGCAGTAAAACCAAGGAGCCCATCAACATAGGAAAACTAATTTGTTTATCTGATTAGACATTACCCGTGGTGACATGACAGGACGGCATCAGAGCTGACAAAAAGCAGAAAGGGCAGGTTTAGAAAGTAGGAAAGATGCACAGCTTGGGATGTGCTTCTGAGACACGGAAAAGCAAAGGTGGCAACAGACACCCAGTGTGGGTTGAGGGCAGAGGTGGTTGGAAGGACGCCAAGGGTAAATTTGGCCTGCTTCCAAATATTGCCTTTATCAAGCACGACCTGGAACCCTATTATGCTTTCACCTCCTTGACAACTGGACTCAAAGGTCGTGAGGGTGAGGGACATGAGGCAGCAACTTTGATAAGTAAGGAAGTCTGGACTACTTACTACTAGGACATCTGCACTTCCAGGAGCCACAGAGCTAAACTAGGCCTGAGGGATGTAAAAGTGCCATGGTTTGGAAGGGCTTTCCCAAGAAGCAGGTGGACTCCTTAACAGCTCCTGGTATGTGTGGCTCAGCGCTGGCAGCTTAATAAGGCCCACCCATCATCTCTCCCCTCCTGGGAGCGGGCTCTTTTGCGCAGGTCCAGTACACCCTTCCATGTGTGAGACAACTTTCCGTCTTGGAGAACCACATGCATAGGCCTAGAATTCTCTTGAAGGCCACCAGAGGGCAGTGTATAGCAATGACCCTGAGCGGTGGGAGCGCACAGCTGCTACTGGCAAGGGCGAGCTCCGGGTACACCAACAACCCCCGACTGTTTCCCCTTACCCGCCTTACCTCCTCCCAAGACACTTCCCTTCTGGAGCAGCCCAGCTTCCTCCAGAGCTTCCATTCCTAACTCAGGGACACCTGCCTGCCTGGTTTCCAGGTGTCTACTGCGTTGGAACCTTTGACACCTAGGTTAGGGAAGCAGAACTGTGATAATGGAAGAGGGACAGATAATGGAAGGAGGACAGACCAGGCCAGTAGACACACCAGGGCCAGCGGTCAGGAGGGGAGCTCGGATTGTAATGCTGATATGCCCTTATTCCCGCACATATGTTCAGGCTGAACACATTGTCTCTGAGCAGCCCTTCAGTAAGGAAATATTCCAGCCCCCTACAGAACCCCCCTTCTTTTTTCAGGCCACGAGTATGTGAGGACTGCAAATTATTAGCCAGGTTTCCCATGGGTCAGCAGTCGGCCCGGTGGCATCTCAGAAAAAAAACATCCACCCCATCCAGACTCTGCCACCAGAGTAGGATGGGGATGAGGACTACTGGCTAAAATAGGGGACTAGATGCTTTGAGTATCAGTACTCATAGGGGCCTGAGCCTCTGCTGGAGCCCCTATAAACAGAGAAGGGGTGCTCACAGTCTTTCCCGGCCGGCCCGGACAACCCTGGCCCCTCCAGTCCCTATGCAGCCGCAGGAGCAAAAAATGTGGTCCTCTCTGGGTGGGAGATGGAAGCAGCAGCCTAGAAAAGGGCATGACTCTTGTGGGCTCTGTTGCTGAAGGATTGGGATGCCCCCTCTGAAGGGAGGAATAGGGTCCCAAAGACCCTGCTGAGGAAGGAGGGAGAGCCAGAAGTAAGCAGTTAATTCAGGTTGGTCGCCTTTCTCCCTCTCTCTAGAGGTGAATCACCCTCTGAATCGAGGTGTTTTCTGGTAAGCTCCCGAAAGCCTTCCCTTTATTAGCCCACCTGCAGGAAAATGTCAGATGTCAGACTGGCTGGCTGTGTCAGACAGTGTTAATGCCATGCCCCAGCCCGTCACCTTGGGAGGCTGGGCATGAGGAGCATTATATTACAATTTATAAATAAGAAATAAAATTATCGGGTGGGGCTGAGGCACTGGAGAAGAGCCTAAATAGTCCTCCTTAAGGAATGCACACCAGATCAGACCCGGGATCACCTCCTCTCAGTTCGAGGTTACCCCTAAGCCAGACAGTTTCCACATAGCCCCATTTTCTCCCTCCCCTCCCTCTCTTTCCCTCCCAATTGGCTTCCTCTGCTGCCCACACCCCCACATCTCACCCAGCAGGCCCCCGTTTCCTTGGGCGCCTCGAGGTTTCTATGCCTGGGACGCTCAGCCCAGCAGCTCCTCTGCCAAGCGGTAGAGGAGCCGAGAGTACCAGTGCATGCCAGTCGGCTGGACAGCCCCGCCGGGGAGCAGCGCCCCCAGCGCGTGCAGCAGGCGCAAGGGGGCAAAAGCGCGGTGCGCCCACTGATGACTCTCCAGAACCGCGTAGCACGAGGCCAGGACATCGTTGACCAGCAGCGTCCCGTGCGCGGTGAGCGGCGCGAACACGCCCACGGCTTCCTCTCTCGCCACGCGGGCCACGCGCGCCGGCCGAAGCGCGTCCCCGCCTGGCGCCAGCACCGAGTCCCCAGCTCGTAGCCGGCGCGCGAACACTGGTGCAAAGTCGCCTGGCGCGGGCGCCGGCCCTCGAGCGGCAAACACCAGGTGCCAGGGCGTGAGCAACAGTTTGCGTGGGGGCCGCTCGGTCTCCACAGCCACAAATGAAGCCCGGCGCTGCAAGTCCCGGTCCAGGAAGAGCAGCACCGGCGTGGGCACCACCCGGCCTGACGCATCGGCCGCCAAAACCCAGTCTCCGCGATGCAGTTCCCGCAGCCCCTTCCGCTCGCCGCTCCTCAGGCGCACCGTGGCATTTCCCGGAAAGCAGCCGCCCGCCCGGACCGCCAGTGAGTTATCTGCAGGGAACAACCACAGGAAGGATTGAATCAAGACCAGCAGTTCCAGAATGATGGTACCAATTCTCAAGGCCAGCGCATACCTCGCCAGTCCTGGACAACACAATTTCCCACTAATCTGGCCCCAAAGGAAGGGTGGTTTTCTTTCTTTTCTTTCTTTCTTATTTATTTATTTAGAGACAAGCTCTGGCTTTGTCTCCCAGGCTGGAGTTCAGTGGCGCCATCTCGGCTCACTGCAACCTCCAGCTCCCGGGTTCAAGCGATTCTCGTGCCTCAGCCTCCCGAGTAGCTGGGATTACAGGCATGCGCCACCACGCCCGGCCAATTTTTGTATTTATAGCAGAGACGGGATTTCACCATGTTTGCCAGGCTAGTCTGGAACTCCTGACCTCAAGTGATCCGCCAGCCTTGACCTCCCAAAGTGCTGGGATTACAGGCATGAGGCACCGCCTCGGCCTGGACAGGTGGTTTTCAGCACTAAAGCCCGCTTGGTCTCCCCTAGGGGAGACTACTGCAACAGGACTACTGCAGACTCAGTTTCTCAGAGGGAGCCCCCTTTTGGCGGATTTTACCACCCTCACCCTACTGTACCAGCTTTGACCGACACGTGGACGTGGTTGCGGGACTCGTAGTAGACCCAGTCGAACCCGGCTTCCACTGCGAGGCGCGCCAGCAACCCATACTTGTTGCGGTCGCGGTCAGACGTGGTGATGTCCAAAGCACGGCCTTCGTAGTGGAGTGAATCCTGAGCGTGGTGGCCGTCCTCGTCCCAGCCCTCAGTCACTCGTAGGCGCACTCCGGGCCACATGTTCATTACGGCAATGGCCAACGCATTTACTCTCTCCTTACAACGCTGGCGGGGAATAAAGGAGTCAGTCTCCCCACCACCACTACCTCCACTCTCCGGGGGAAAAGGGATCTAGATAGCAGGGTTGATTATTATTCCAGCCCCACTCCTCCCCTTCCCAGCTTTTGAGTGTGCTGGGGAAATGAGAGTCTGAGTAGATGGTAGTTGTTAATCTGCATTCCGTTCCCAGGGAGTCGTTGGAGAACTGTGGAGTCACCTCTGAGGTTGAGATGGGGTGCCCATAGCTAGCTCTTTCCCCATTTTTAATGCCTGTCCCTCACCCCTATTGGCTCTGGGACAGTGTGGCTCAACCTGGGAGAAGGCCAGAGTTGGGAGGGCAAATGGAAGCGTGGTCAGGGAGGGCTTGGTTGCTCCCTAGGAGCCCCTGTTTGAGCCTGGCCCCCGCCCCAGGCCCCGGCTCCCCTCCCTCCGCCTGATTCATCTTTTGTTTCATTGCCTTCCCTGGCACCGGGCATCGCTTCCTTCCTTCCTTCCTTCCTCCTCCTCCTTTCGGCCCCTAGCATTAACCTCTTCGTGCTCTGGGTGCCCCCCGCAGAGGTGCCCAAGAGGAGTTGTGCGGGATCAAGGCTGCTGGAAAAAGGACTGGGGTGGCGGGGGTTGCGCGAAGTACAATGGCCATTCTCCGGGATGACTTAACTGAGCGAGAATCCTGAGCCCAGGCCGGGGACGCGCTGGGAGAAGCGGACTCAGCAGCTCCGGCCACAAAGGCGCTTTTCAGCCGCCCCGGCTCAGGGAGAGGAAAGGGCAGAAAGCCGCGCCCCCCATCCCTGCTCCGGCCGGCTAGGTCCCCTCCCCCAGCGAGGCCAGTTTTCCCAGTTCCAACTAAGGCTCTGCCAGTCCGGAGAGCCCCCATCTGTCTCTGCTTCCGATGCCGCCCAGAAGGGCATGGGAGTAGCACCTGAGAATAACGGGATCCTTGCGCGGATCTGGGGAGCCCCCTGCAGGGTGAGAGTGGAGAAGAGGAAAAGATGCTGCGGCTGGAAGCTTGCACCCGGGGGAGTGAGACCACAGTTATCTTCGCCGCTCCAGTCTGGGAGCGGGAGACCTTGGCGCGCACCATAGCAGGGACAGTGCGGGAGGAGGCGCAGAGAGGGACAGCTTCCTTTTTTTCTTTCCCCTCTGATCTCTCACCTCGGACTTGGTTTTCTCTTAACAGAAAGACACTTTACTCCTTTCCTTCTCTAGTCTCCTCCACCTCCGCAGAGTTGGGGGGTGGGGGGAATACAGGAAAAGTGGTAGCTCCTTCCAACTTTGTCGTTTCGTCCCCTAAGGAGGCCCCGAGGCCCTGACCTGCGGGGGCAGCAGCCCAGTGCAGAGCCAACTCAATGGAGGCCTTTTGCAGCCAGGGTGTGGGAGATAAGTAAGACTGAGGGGGCTCCCAGGCCTGTCGGAGTTCCTCCTGAGCCTGTCCCTTGTTCTGCCCACTCTGCTGCAGGTGGCAGCCAGAGGAAAGGGCCACAATGTTCCACGGCCAAGGAGGAGAGAAGGAATGTCCCCTTTCTAATCTCTGGGTAAGAGGAAGCCTTCAGGGCAGAAGCAAAAGGAATTCTTTCTCCTCTGGACAGGTTTTCCTAACAAAGTAACCTGGAAAACTATGGCAATTAATCAGAGGAAATCCGTACTCCTCCCTCTCCCCCCACCTCCCCACTCCATACACAATTAGGTGGTGTAATGGAAAGCATATAGGGCTTAGAAAGGAGTCCTGAATTCTAGTCCCAGCCATGCCACTAATTAGTTGTGAGACTTTAAATTGCTTTTCCTCCTGGTGAAAGTCCAGTTCTCAGATGTAAAATGGGGGTGGCAGTGGGGGTAGGGAGGGTTAGAGGAATGTGATCTCCAAGTTTTCTTTCAATTCTAACATTCAATATCACTGGCCAGGCTGGATGCAGTGGCTCACACCTGTAATCCCAGCACTTCGGGAGGCCAAGGTGGGAGGATCCTTTGAGCTCAGAAGTTCAAGACTAGCTTAGGCAACATAGCAAGTCCCCACCTCTACAAAAAATTACAAAAAAATCACTGGCCAGAGGTGATACTTCTCTTCCAAGGCATTGCCCACCCCACTCTAGGTTCCTTTAGTTTCAATGCTCAAAAATGGTAGTCGAATTTACCTTAATTATGTAATTTCAAGGAAAGCTCCGGAGATAAGCAGAGCTTGGAAGACTTAGGAGCCCTCTGATTCTCAGATGGGCCCAACTGTTACTCTCATTGAGCATGATTTTTACCCCGAGATTGTCATTTAGACCCTAGGATAGCCCTAGAATAGACCCTAGAATAGATATGTCCTGGTTCTAGAACACGTTTCCCATGCCAAAAGCAATTTCTGCTCAGCCCCTCCTCAGGTAGATGGTCTGGTGACCTGACCCCTGGTCACCCCTTTCCCAGCCCTCTTCAGTCTCTTCTTTTCAGCCCACAGAACTTTTCTGCAATCAGGTCAGGAGCCAGGCTAAGGGTAAAACCTTCTGTCTGCTGCCTTACCAGCTCCTGGCCCCCAGCTCACCCCAGCCCTTCCTGCCTGGCTGGGTGGCTGACCCCGGGTCCACGCCTCAGCCATTTCCCGTCTCGCCTGCCGCCATCCTCCTTTCCCCGCCCTCGCTGCCTCTCCCAGCTTCACTCTCACTAGTCAGTCCCCCTCCCCTCCCCATCCCGGTCTCTTCCCGTCGGGATCCCTCCTAACCACTCTGTCCAACCAGCAAGGATTTTCTTTTTCTTTCTTTCTTTCTTTCTTTTTTTTTTTCTGGGGCATCGGGGTGGTGAAAAGGGAGACCTTTAAGGCTAAAGTCTCTGTAGGTGAAACTAGACTCACCCTCCTGGGCTGCCATAAGAAAACAGAGGAGCTGGCAGGGCCCTGGCGCAGGTGGGGAGAGGCCCTCCTTACCTCAGTCATCAGACGGTCGGCGCCACTGTTCTCCTCATCCTTGAAGATGATGTCGGGGTTGTAGTTGGGCACGAGGTCTCGGAAGCGCTCGGAGCCCCTTGCCACCCTTCCCTCGGCTGGCCCACTGGCGCCCAGGGTCCGCTCGGGCACTCCAGGCACAAATTGCTTGTAGAGTAGCGGCACGAGCTGCTTGCGCACATAGCGGCGCCGGCCAACCGGCCCCCGGCCCGGCCCGCAGCTCTGGGCCGGCAGCGCCAGAAGTGCCAAGCAGCACAGGGGCAGCAGGTTGGCCAGCAGAGCCATGGATACAGCAGATCTGGGCCAAAAGGGAGCGTTCTTGTCCTCACTAACTCTCCTGTCAGTTAGGCATCTCCACAGGCACCAGAGAGGGCAGCAGGCAGAGCTGCCCCCAGAGTGCCCTAGAGCTCTAGTGGTTCCGCGCACCTGCCTGCTGCTAGCTCTGCCCACGTGCCCCCGGGGGGTCTAGGACCTGCTACTGACGGACCATCATAGGAGGGAAGGGGGGTCGTGGGTGAGTGCCAGCCCAGCCTGTCTCTGCTGCAGGACTCTGGTGCTGCCAGAACGCCGGGACTCCGGACTCCGCCTTAAGTGGCCCCTGGCCCCGCCCCCCGCCCTTCTCCCAAGACCGTCCCACCCCCTCCCACCCGGGCGGGGGATCTAACCGGTCACTGCTGGTCCATTTTGCGACTGAAGTGTGTCCCATCCTGGAAACCAGGCAGACACCTGCCTAGGAAATCCATGTAGCTTTATAGTCCTTAACTACCTAGATAAACATCCTTCTACCTCCAAGCCTAAACTTGGAACCAAACCACCCTCCTCTGATACTTGAATTGGAATTTTTGCTCTCTCAAAGCCTACCCTGGCAGGGCATGCCCTCCCCTGTCATCCAGGAAGTATGGGTTCCAACTTCTGCTCAAGACCAGCCAAGCTCTTTGGGCATACAACCAGAGCCTCCCTTCTCTGTGGTCCTTCCCAGACCTCCCCCATTTCCATCTCTCCGCACACTCAGCAGTAACCAGGACTGGGAGGTGAGGATACCAAGGGCCCATTAACTTTACAGTTAAAACTCTACAGTCTCTAGAACTCAACTAACTTTAGTCTCCATTGGAACTCAGAAACAGGAACAGAGCTTGGTACTTAAGACTCTGGTTTAGGACTTCCGACTTTTTCCCCTTCTTTTCTTTGCCAGCCGTCTAATAGCTGCTTCTTTTCAAATGAATAACTTGTCAGTTGGAAGCTGCTGCAGGGCAGTGTACACTCAAAGTCTTCTCAAGAGGTGAGGCTCATTTCCCTTAACCTTCCATCTAGGCACCTCTCCGGCTTTCTCCCTCTCTGGATTCCCGGGGCTCTATTTTCAGCCATTCAGCTCTCAGAAGCACCACATCCAATTTCTATTGTTTAGAAATTATTTCTTCTGGTCTGGTGCAGTGGCTCATGCCTATAATCCCAGCACTTTGGGAGGCCAAGGCGGGTGGATCACGAGGTCAAGAGATCGAGACCATTCTGGTCAACATGATGAAACCCCGTCTCTACTAAAAATACTAAAAATTAGCTGGGCATGGTGGCGCGTGCCTGTAATCCCAGCTACTCAGGAGGCTGAGGCAGGAGAATTGCCTGAACCCAGGAGGTGAAGGTTGCGGTGAGCCGAGATGGCGCCATTGCACTCCAGCCTGGGTAACAAGAGCAAAACTCCATCTCAAAAAAAAAAAAAAAGAAAAAAAAAATTAGCTGTGCATGGTGGTGCAACGCTTCCTACAGAGCAAGACTCCGTCTCAAAAAAAAAAAAAAAAAGAAAGAAAAAGAAAAAGAAAATCATTTCTTCTAAGAATACTTCTGTCCCAACACTGCCCACCTGTGTTCCCTGGGGAACCAGTACTTAACAGCAGTAGTAGAACAGTATTAGACTTATCTGGCACCTTACTAGATGACGCTGTCTTAAACATACACATATTGTGTATCTCCAAGGCTAAGTGCCTACTCTACAGAAGGGTGCTCTGCAAGTATTTGTGGAATCTACACCTTTTCTTTCATAATCACCCTCCCCTCACCAAGTTCTATGGCTAACACTTATAGCAACTTCGTGTACATTAGAAAAAAAACCAGGCCAGAAACAGTGGCTCACTCCTGTAATCCCAAAACTTTGGGAGGCTGAAGCAAAAATTGCTTGAGGCCATGAGTTCCAGACCAACCTGGTCAATGTAGTAGGACCCCGTTTCAAAAAAAAATTTTTTTTTAATTAGTAGGGGGTGGTGGTACATGCCTGTAGTCTTAGGTACTCAGGAGGCTGAGGCATGAGGATCACTTGGGTACAAGAGTTCAAGGTTGCAGTGAGCTAAGATCCTGCTACTGCACTCTTGCCTGGGTGATAGTAAGACCCCCCTCCAAAAAAAGATGGCTGGGTGCCATGGCTCACCCCTGTAATCTCATCACTTTGGGAGGCCAAGGCAGGTGGATCGCTTGAGCTCAGGAGTTCAGGACCAGCCTAGGCAACATGGCAAAACCCCATCTCTACTAAAAATACAAAAATTAGCCAGGCATGGTGGCATGCATCTGTAGTCCTAGCTATTCTGGAGCCTGAGGTGAAAGAATGGGTTGAGCCCAGATTTCAGAGGTCTCAGTGAGCTGAGATCACACCACTGCACTTCAGCCTGGGTGACAGAGCCAGATCTTGTCTCGAAAGAAAAGAAAAGCCCCCCCCCCCCCTTTTTTTAAATCAGTCAAGATTTACAAGAGAACTATCATAATAACTATCCATACAATGACTAAGAGGCAAATGGTGTCCCTGGAAGTTGTGCAATGCACAATCTGTATAAATCTAAGTTTTGAGCCCCTACCCCCAACATAGCCCATGGGCTCTTCAAGAAACTGATGGCCTCTAGTAAAAAGCTAGGTTCTTCTCTCGGGTAGGAATTGAAAATCCTTGTCAGCCAGCCCCTTATTTTACTCTATATCTACCAGTTAAGCCAGGGAGAACAGGGCTGAAGGTGTGAGTGTACAGGAGGAGGTTATCCTACTCCTATGCCCATGTCCTACCCCCAATACTCAAGGTACAGAAACGAGGCCACGGATATGAGAAGGAGCCAGGGGACAAGCAAGCTTTAAGCAAGGCTGAGGAAGGAGGAGTTTCCACTGCCCAAACGCATGGCCTAACACCCGATCCAAGTCCCCAAAGGATGCTAATATAGATGAAGGGGTAGGAAAAGGATGGTGAGCAGTACCCCTCTGCTTTTCTTACTGGGCAGACTCAGAACTAGCAGGAGCAAGGCTGTTCAAATACACACAGAGACAAGTTATTTAAAAAAACAAAGCAAACCCTGCGATCAACTTTATTGCTGATGGGTGAAGCCTCCTCCTCCCTATGCCCTTGGTCTTTCTGGTGGTCCAAAGCCCCTCCAGGATAGTACAGGGATTAGGCTCTGCTGGGCCAGAGGCAAGGGAGACAATCTACCCCTGACAAGCCTGCACTGGCCCAGTCCTTCCCCTGCCCCCTCCCACCCTATTGCACATCAGATCATGTAAACATGGCTATGGGCACAGCCCAGAACAGCAGTGAGGCAGATTGATGTGTAAACGGATTTGGGACCAGGGCCAGACCCAGTCACCCAGCCCTACCCCATGCTGAGGCCACAGTTAAGTATGGAAAACTAGGGGGTCCTGGTCCTAAACTCTGGCTCAGATTATGCAACAGTGCAGACGGCTCAGCTCCCCTCCGCCACCCACCCTCTCAGATTTCAAGTCCTGAGGTCCAGCTACCCTTGGGCTTCCCTCCAGGCCTAGACAGCAGATGGCAGTGTCCAGTTTTCTCCCTCCCACCCCTAACTGGAGGTCATTGGTGCTGGGTCTTCCTAGATGCCCGGGGGAAACCGGAGACAGGCAGCGGCAGTCTGTCCAGCCCTGGAGAAGAGAAAGAGATGGGCATTCAAAAGCAGGTCACAGGTCCAGTCCATTAGGGACCAGACAACCAAGCCACAGAATGTGTGGATGAGGTACGTTACCCACAAAGCCGGAAGCACACCCTCTCCCCTGCTGAGATGACCCGTGATCCAGTGTGTCCTAGATAACTACCACCCTACCACCCCGCACCCTCTCTCCCTCTCACCAAAGGCCCGGATCAGCTCTGCTCGCACAGCTGCAGTGAAGGTCTTCACCAGACAGAGTGTGGTGAGGCCTGCAAAGGCTGCATTGTAGAGGAACACAATGTAGAAATTGCCCAGCCAGTTGAAGCGTCCAAAGTCACCCAGCAGGTCAAAGCGAGTGAGCCCTGAAGTACAAAGGCCAGGATGAGAGGTGGGCTCCCCAGGCCCTTTTCTGCTACCAGCCCAACTTTCTGCTGCCTTCTGGTGGTCATATCTCAACACTGCAACTGATGGGTTGGCTTCTCCCAATTCTACCACCCAAAGCTATCTCAAGGGCAGTTCCCGACAGTTCAAAGTATCAGCAGCTAGGCTTGCTTCAACTTCACTTCCAGAGTCTGCCATCTTCTCCAGTGAGGCATCCTCTGGCTCTTGGTGCCTCCGGGATCTCCCAGGGCCTACTACTTGTTCCTGGGCCTGGAACAAGCAGGTCGTCAACTTTTTTTTAGTAGACAGAATAGTGTGGTTGCTAAGCACTCAGACTGATCAGGCTGCTTTGGTTCGTATCCCAACTCCACCCCTAATTAGCTGTGTGATCTGGGAAAATTCCTTAAATTTTCTGTGCCTCAGTTTCCTGAGAATTAAATGAGACAACACACATAAAGCACTGTCTGTGCCAGGCACTATTCTAACATTTACTGGGCTCTTCATAATAATAATATCATAAATCAAAAAACTCTGCTCCCCACCTTTAAATATTTTTACCTGCATCCACCCTAAAGGAACTAACTGGAAGACTCACAAGACAACTTTCTTACAAATTCCCCCGGCATAACTACAAATGGTAGAGTGTAAAGAATATAACATTAAGAATGAAATAGAGCTGTTTTTTGTTTAATTTGATTTTGTTTTGAGACAGGGTCTTGCTCTGTTGCCCAGGCTTGGAGTGCAATGGCACAATCTTAGCTCCCTGCAGCCTCAAAGTCCTGGGCCCAAGCAGTCCTCTTGCCTCAGTCTCACATATAGCTAGGACTACAGATGTGTGCTACCACATCTGGCTAATTTAAAAACTTTTTTGTAGAGATAAGGTCTCACTATGTTGCTCAGGCTGGTCTAGGACCCCTGGTCTCAAGCAATCCTCCCACCTTGGCCTTCCAAAGTGCTGGGATTACAGGTTTAAGCCAACGTGCCCAGCCACTCTTGAACTTTTTAACCAGGTAATTCTAGATACAGCTCCAAAGGCAGGAGAAGGAATGAGTGTATTATCTGACACCCCAGTGTATAGAGAAAGTACTAGCCTGGGGTTCAGGAGACATTCTAGACTGACTTGACCTTGCCTCAAACTAGCTGTATAACTCTGGGTCAATTAGGTAGCTTCTCTGTTTATCATCTTTCAAACAGGAACATTCATTGGATTATTCACCCAGGAGAAAGACTTAGAAAAAAGGGTGCTCCCCAACCAAAAAGTAAAGTAAATGAGACAGGCAGTGGGATGCAGCAAATGTAGAAAGTATGTACTTTGCAGCAACACTAACCTGAAGCTCAGTGTCGGCACTTCAAAGAGCCTCACTTTCCCCAACTGTATAATGGGGATAATACCAACTCTTGGGTTTGTTGTGGGAATTAGAGAACGCATCTATATGAAGTGCCTGCCGGCTGGGCGCGGTGGCTCACACCTGCAATCCCAACACTTTGTGGGGCCAAGGCAGACGGATCACCTGAGGTCGGGAGTATGAGACCAGCCTGACCAACATGAAGAAACCCTATCTCTACTAAAAAAGTACAGAATTAGCCGGGCATGGTGGCGCACACCTGTAATCCCAGCTATTTGGGAGGCTGAAGCAGGAGAATTGCTTGAACCCGGGAGGTGGAGGTTGCGGTGAGCTGAGATAATGCCATTGCACTCCAGCCTGGGCAACAAGAGCAAAACACTGTTTCAGAAAATAAAATAAAATGCCTGCTTTGTATCAGTAAGTACTCAAAACAATCCAGTTCCCTTATCTCCTCCTTTCAATACTTACCTAGGGTTCGAGAGAAGACAGGAAGTGCTGAGCTTAGGACCAGGAGACAGACACAGTTCCCAATTATCTGGGTGGAAGTAGGGAAAGGAGAGGTGAGGTAGAAGAGCTGCGGGCACTGAGTGCCCATCCACACCCCCAGGTGGCTTCCCCTCCTCCCTCCCAGCTACCTGCGTCATGGTGGTGTCATGCCATCTGGGCCGCAGGCTCCGGAACAGCGGAGAGCTATAGAAGCCCACAACTGAGGACACCATTAGGTAACTGCCACTGCATTAAGGAAGAACTGGCTGGCTTCTAAAGATTAACATCAAGGGGAACAGAACTCTCTCCCAGCCCACCCTTATTTTTTTTTTTTTTTTTTTTGAGACAGGGTCTCACTTTGTCACCCAGGCTGGAGTGCAGTGGCATAATTTCAGCTCACTGCAGCCTTGACCTTCTAGGCTCAATTCATCTTCCGTCAGCCTCCCGAGTAGCTGGGGATGTAAGCATGCACCACCACACCTGGCTAATTTTTTGTATTTTTTTTTTTTTGTAGAGACTGGGTTTCACCATGTTGCTCAGGCTGGTCTTGAAATCCTAAACTCAAGCAATCCACCTCCCTTAGCCTCCCAAAGTGCTAGGATTACAGGTGTGAGCCACGGCACCCGGCCTCTTTTATTTTATTCTGAGGAGATTCTACTGAACCACCAGTCCTTCTTTCAAAATTTAGTCTTTTCCTTCTTTCAGAACTGGAGGCTGATGAAGACTTGCCCCACTTCCCATCACTGTTACGAGTCCCAAAGGAGACAAAGTCCAAGAAGTGCTGTCTAGAGTCCCAGGAGACAGGTTTGGTGAACAGAAGTAATGATGGGTTTCCAGAAGGATACAAGATGAGTACAACCTGAATGACGGCACCAAAGGAGCCCAGCTTGGAGAAGGAGACCTGGCCTAGGGAGGCACCCTGAGGAGTGGAACAGTGCCACTGTGAGCATCCCCCACCATCAGCAAACACTACCCAGCACCCAGCCTTCCCGCTGTCCTCAGCTTCTGCCTCCTCTCCCCAGCTATTCTTAGGCCCTCCCCAAAGGATATGGTGGGAGGGCAGCCTGGTACCTGCATGCCTCGGGGCATGGCAGCCTCATCGATGAGCAGCTCCAGGATGTGGATGGCCACAATGAGCACAGACAAGCCCTGTGTGAGGCAAGGTGAGACTCCCATCCCACCCCAGACCATGGCTGGACCCAGAGCTAAAGAAATGGGCAGAGACTCTGGTCCAACATTTTCAGTTTCCAAGACTAGCTCTGCTTCCAATGAGCTGTGTGGAACCTTGTCGAGGTTGTTATTAGCAACAGAGTGCCTTCGAGGACATTATAAGATACATCCCTTCTAGGTGGAAGGATTACAAAAAGGCAGAATAGGAAAAGGTACCTCTCTTCAATAAGATCTATTCCTGAGTCCATGGGGGAATGGACTAAATTTCAGTGCTTATTCTCATCCCAGGGCAAACCTGCACAACTAGTCTTTGGCCCTGTGTGACCTTGGGCAAGTCACTCAACTCTGTCTCTTCATCTACAAAATGGGGATTGATGTGCTCAGCATTTGTGCTCAGCATAGGCAGGACATAAAAGCAGGCACTCAGTGAGAGGCAACTATTATTGATGATAACCAGGTCCCCACATCGCCTCCCCTCTCCCTGAGAAGGCCTCAAGGACTGAGGGTCCACTCCCCACCTCTAGGGCTGGTATACCCACCGTCAGCACCAGTAAGCACAGCATGGCCAGGGGATAGCCTAGGTTCCGCTGCCAGGCTGAAGCCTTTCGCCGCTTCTCTGTGTAGGGATGGAAAGCTGTCAGCAAGCACCAAGAACCAGGGGCTACTCTCCTTGGGGAAACCCATGTATCCCAAGCCCTACTAACCCACATACCCAGCAGGACCCTCTGTGTCTGCAGAGCCAGGACCTGTCTGTGTAGCAGCTCCATGTCTAAAGGCAGCCAGCAGGAAGTAGGATCTGAGGGCAGACAAGATAATGTTGTTCCCAAGTCCTGTAGTCTCTCCCCAGGCCAAGCCTACCACCCCAGCAGGGAAGAACTGCAACTCACTACAGATCCTGCGGGTCAGGGCTGCCTCTTCAAAGGCTGAGCAGTACAGCTGCTCCTCCAAGTCTTCCAGCAGCTAGGGGCAGGGGAAAGGAAGAGACTAACTGTCAGAGGCTCCCTGACCCAAAGGTCCCAGGAGAACCCTGTTCCTCCCGGGGCTCCGTAGTCCCAGTCCTTCCCCAAAGCCTCATTCACCACCCTGTGGCCAGCAGCTTTGCTCAATCCCTCCCAAATGTCTTGAGTTCTGCCCTGCGTGTCTGGTGACCAGCTCTGGATGATAGGGGTACAGGATACAGGAACCAACAAAGGCTGTAGCCCTCTCCAAGTTGTACACTATACAATCATAGAGTTGTTTCATTGTTTGCTCTAGCTCTGCAGGAAGCTCACCCTGCAGGATCAAAGACCAAGGAATACCACATACCCGAGGCTTGACCAGCAGCTTCCCAGTGACCGAGAACATCCGGGCAAGACCCAGTGGAGTACACACTGTGGGGACAAGAGCCAGTCACCTGCCAGACCCTGATCTCCACCCCTTCCCTATCATGCCCCTCCATTCCCTCTCCTTCTAGCCTGGTTAGTCTGACCCAAGGACCCTACCCATTCCCTCCCAGACCCTGTACACTCACCCAGGAGCAGCAGAACCCCGAGGAAGGAGATGCATGAGTAGAGGTAGGGGAGATAGTACTCCCAGAAGTCTAAGGATAAAAAAAAGGCATGTCAGCTCATTTCTCCTTGCTCACTGGGGGCTGACAGGCCTCAGAGTCTAGACAAGGGCACAGTCCCCACAGGGGTTAGGCAAGTAATATAAATGAAGAAAGCTGGCCAGCATTAGCAGAAGGAGGAGAGGCAGGACCTGTAGTAAACTGGAGATCTTAACCCCGAACAAAAGGGCACAACTGCTATTTGGCCCCCATCACCAGAGACTAATGTAGCCAGATCTTCTCTTTGTCAAGCATAGTTAGATATCTGGATATTAATGTGAAATCTCCCAATTTAAAATGTAAGTAACTGAATAATATATATTTCAAAAACCATTGCATGGGCCCAATGAAACATTTCTGCAGGTTGGATTTGGCCAGAAGTCTATCAGCTTGAAACTTCAGTCTAAGGGAAAAGGTACTACCTTCTCCACTTTAGAGGGTTACAGTCATTCCAGGCAGGGGGACATGGGCCAACTGAAGAGCCACACAGCCTGGAGGAAGCTGGGCTGCTCACCATAGAGTGACTCTCTGCTGGCCTTGTTGTTGTCCACAATGGCTAATGCCACCCACACCATACCCAGCACGAGCAGCGTGAGGAGCATCAACATCACCACCGTCTCATAGACCCGGCCCAGGACACCCTATGGGAGGAGGCAATAGGTGAAGGGGAAAAGGTGGTTAACATCAGAGCAGCATGGGGAAGGAAAGACATCAGAAATGGCAGCTGGCTTGTGGGAACCAGAGATCTGGATTCAGGAGATGAGAGATGGTTTTCCTCTTACTCTGCTGTTGCTCTGTCTTCCCACTTCCCAGTTAAGGTCATCCCACATACTGGGTGTTCTTCATTTGCACCTCCTTTCCCCAGACCCATTCCTTGTCGCTGTCTGCTCTGGGAGGCCGACCTCTAAGGTCTGCATCCCACAAGCTCTTTGCCCTCTGGTTTGGCATCCAGCAGGAGAATGGAAGGTAGAAAAGAGGTAAGGGTATGCTTTCTGTGCTTCCTCCCACCTTTGCCACCATGGTTTTGGTAGTGACTATCACTAAGATAACAGCTCCTCTCTGGGTAGCTTCACGTCCCTGGCTTCAGCTATTGGGAGGTTCTAGAAACCATTTCCTCCCTTTGTCCCTAGAGGCCTAAAGGTGGAAATAACTTCCTGCTGTCACTAGAGCCTCAAACTTCCTTTAACTAAACCTCTGCAAATAGCCTCTTTATTAAAATCTCTTCAGCTGCACTATGTGAGGGGAATTCCATTTCCTGCCTGGATACATATCTCTACTTACCTTTCTGGAGCCAGCAAAGCCCTCAGACTCAGTGAAGAAATATGCAAAGGGCATGAGGAAGATGAGGGACAGGTTGGAGAAGAGAAAAACAAGGTTCCAGAGGCCTAGAGCAAAAAAGGAAAAGCAGAGGTGGTCAGTAAGGGGAGGGGCAACCCATAGGAGACTGACCATTTGCAGGAGAAGCAGAGAGAAGGTGCTACATATGACTGATTGGCCCGGGACTGCCTGAGTCTCTCTGCTCTCTGCTCCCTATCCCCACCCCAAGCCACCTCCAGGAGCCACACACCATGGATGAGGGAGCCGTTGAGCCACTGGATGTAGTAGTTCCGAGGCAGGGAGAGCAGCACTTCATTGCTGATGATGGAGAAGGGCAGGAGCAGGACAGCACCCAGGGCAACTGCCAGGGTAAAGGTGCACAGCTCAAGCCTGGGCAGAGAAGGGGAGAGTGTCCTTGCTTAGCTCAGGACTCACTACCCTGTGCTGGGGAAGCCCCATTTGTCCTGAGGGCACCTGTGGCTTTGAGAACCAGTTATCGCAATGACAGAGCGAGGGAAGGAGCTGTCCAGCTAGGGTTCTACCCACTGCTGCCCCGCCCTAGTCCTTTACCTCCAGGCAAGCTGGAGCACATGGGATGGACACAGCCTCAGGCATTCATGGGAACCTGGTCACCTGCCACGACACATGCCCAGGCTGTCCTAGGAATGTGGTCATCCTATACATGTCTGTAGGTTATGCCAGGTATGATTCCAAAGCTAGGGGGCCTGGCTTCTCTTCTTTTTTCAGGGATATGGATTTTGGTTTTTGTTTTCTTTTTTTGAGACAGAGTCCCGCTCTGTCACTAGGCTGGAGTGCAGTGGCGCAATCTTGGCTCACTGCAACCTGTCTCCTGGGTTCAAGCAATTCTCCTGCCTCAGCCTCCCAAGTAACTGGGACTACAGGTGCGTACCACCACACCCAGCTAATTTTTGTAATTTTAGGAGAGACGGGGTTTCACCATGTTGGCCAGGATGGTCTTGATCTCTTGACCTCATGACCTGCTCGCCTCAGCCTCCCAAAGTGCTGGGATTACAGGCGTGAGCCACTGTGCCTGGCCCAGGTATACAGATTTCTAAGCTTGCCTCTTTTAGACCAGATAAGCACAGGTTCATCCCATTTGGCTATGCCCTACACAAAGGCACGAGGGCAAAGGAGGAAAAGGAGAAACTGAAATCTAGCTTCATAGCCAAGGCTATGCCCTGGGCTGCATCCACTGAAGAGGGGCACTTCTATTTCATTGGTCCATCAAGGATGGAGGACCACCTTCTGATCTATTGACTTGGAGGAGTCATCGCTCTCTCATTCTCTGTATGTGCTAGTGAACATTAGCAGCCTGGAATATGAGCCTTCCTCTCAGACCAAGCATGCCCCTCCCTTAGGGGTTCCCACCTTCCCCACACCCTGCTCTTTTTCCATCAATCTGCATCCCCACTCCATTCCCTCCCTACTGGCTGCTGGGAGGTAAAGCCACGCTGGAGCCATTTCCAATGACTCAGGCCCCAGCTGATGTTCCTGGCCATGAGGCTCCCAGAAGCTCCTGGCCTAACCAGGGAGACAGGAACGGCAGCTTTTCTGAGCGTCCCCAGGATGAGGTAAAGCCGGAAGCAGCAAGAAATGGGGTGGAAGCAGAAACTCTCTCTTCACTGTGTGTGACTTCCCTCTTCTCCCTCCAGCTCCAGGGCCTCCCTGGATCCCAGCTCCTAAAGACCACTGGTGTCAGTTGCTGAGGCAGGGACACTTACGCAATCTTGTTGACTGTGGCATCTTCATCATCCACTATAAGAGACAGAGGCATGGGGAAGAGACAGGACATCAGTGGACAGCTCTGAGGCCATCTGTATTATAATGTGCTCCCCGCCCCATCCCTGCTCCCTGAAAGAAGGCAGAGCTGAACAGGAGGCTCTGGGAGACCACACATTATGAACCCCATAGCCTGTTCTCCAGCCAAGGTGGCAGCTTAAAAACCAGGTGAAGAGAATATAGGCCAGACATTCTTATACTTCTTTCCTCCTCCCTAGATCTCACCCATCACAGGTTCCTCTTTATAACTCAAAGTATTAATATAATAAACAATTATTGGCTTGTTACATCAGTGGCTGGGTCCAGGAAAGGGAAAAGAGAGGAGGGAGGACAGATTCACAGAGAAAGTCCCCAGGGGAATTACTTTAGGGTAGCTGCCTTATTGAGCGGGGACTCATCCTGAGCCATCATGAGAGAAGGAAAGACTGGGGGTAGGAAATGGGGCAAGTGTGCCCCCAATCCCAATTACACAATGTCTAGGGAAGGAAAGCTGCAATCTGAGCATACTCAGCCTCAGCATAAAGAGAAAGGCCACCATCACCAGGTGCCCCAGTCATCAGGGAGGTCTCTGGTCCCGGCCGTGGGAACACCAGGAGAGAAGATGACACAGAACCTGTGCCCATAATGATATTCGCCTGGCAGTTGCCCACTTCAGGTTCACAAAGGGCTTTCACATTAACCATCTCCTTTGGTCCACACGATGGAGTAGGTAGACACTGTTATGCCCATTTTGTAGTATAACACTGAGGATCAGAAATATTACATGACTTGCCCAGCAGACCCTTCCATCTAGCTGTCCTCGCCCGTGACTGTGCAGGAAGGGACGCTGAAGAGGCAAAGGCTCCGGAACAGCCCCGCACGGCCGCTGCTCCTTTCCCAGTGGACATCATAGGTCCATTCCCCTGAGGCTGGCCCATGGCAACAGGGACTCTGGCAGAAGGGAGGGAAGTCACAGTACCTGTGGTGAACTCAGCAGGCTTCTTGAAGCGGGTCAGGAAGATGTGGCAGAGGAGGTACAGTGTTGCAAACAGAAGTGTTGAGATCTGTGGCAGAATGTGAGCCGGGATGAGAAGCTCTAACCTTCAGCATACTCCATAGCCCCAAGAGCCTCTCTGTTAATTCCATGGCATCAATTCCTCCAGATAAGGCTCCATACTTCCAGGGGTTCCATCCAGAGCCTTATCTTGAGGCTGCGATCCCAGTGATTTCCCAGATATTTCCTTCTACTCAGGGCCCCAGGGGCCTCTAAGACAGGGCAGACAAGGGGCTGCCCCATGCACCTGGGGAAACAGCACCATGCCCAGCCCCACAGGGACTTTCCTGGGAGAAAACAGCTTCAGCCCAACTCTGGTTGGTAAACGGGTAAAAGAAAACTCCTAGAAATGCACAATGCACACTTATCTAAAACCGGGTACAGAACCAGAGGGAATTTACTCTGAGCACATTATTGGAAAGGGAAGCAGGTTTGAGGGGAGGAAGATGTCCGCATTGTCCTGGCACCCCATCGCTACCACACCCTCCTACCTCCACCCACACTGCTGCCTTGACCCAAAGTAGGTGTCCTGTTTCTAGACCAAGTCACAAATTCTATTCCCTACTTATGCAGGGACCCTGAAAGATCAGGTCTGCTCTGCGCCAAACCAGAGCCTCATTTAATCCTCTACCCCTAACAGTGGGCTTTAGTTGGGGCCCAACGTTTCTAGAGCTGGCTGGACTGCCAGTGACAGTGATGGCAGAACTCGGCCAGGTTAATCTGCATATTCATTCCTACCCTACCCCAGGTAAGCTGCTACTGCCCAGAGGAGGACCCATTGGCCAGCTTGGCTCTAATCAAGACCAGAGAGTGTTGGCTGGGCATGGTGGCTCATGCCTGTAATCCCAGCACTTTGAGAGGCCAAGGCAGGTGGATCACTTGAGGTCGAGAGCTCAAGACAAGCCTGACCAACATGGTGAAACCCTATCTCTACTAAAAATATAAAAATTAGCTGGACATGGTGGCAGAGGCCTGTAATCTCAGCTACTCGGGAGGCTGAGGCACGAGAATCACTAGAACCTGGGAGGCGGAGTTTGCAGTGAGCAGAGATCATACCACTGCACTGCAGCCTGGGCGACAGAGTGAGACTAGGTCTCAAAAAAAATCCAGAGTCTCAAGAAGAGAAATTTTTGTGTTTGAGATAGGCCAAGAGGACAGGATCAGTTTCATGGGTCATCCAGTCTCCAAAAAGGGCTGATCCCACAGGGAATCCACATACAGCTATCTATACAAGGAGAAAAGAATCCACAGAGACACAGGAGAACCATCGATCTAGAACAAAGTTATAGCTTTTGACATTAAGGAAGCAGAATAGAAGGAGCCACTCAGGGCAGGGCGTGATGGCTCACACCTGTAATCTCAGCACTTTGGGATGTCAAGGTGGATGGATCACGAGGTCAGGAATTTGAGACCAGCCTGGCCAACATGGTGAAACCCCATATCTACTAAAAATACAAAAATTGGCCAGGCATGGTGGTGCACGCCTATAGTCCCAGCTACTTGGGAGGTTGAGGAAGAATTGCTTGAACCTGGGAAGCAGAGGTTGCAGTGAGCCGAGATTGCACCACTGCACTCCAGCCTGGGTGACAGAGTGACAGACTGAGACTCCGTCTCAAATAAATAAATAAATAAATAAATAAAGGAGCCACTAAGATTGTAGCAGCAGGATTTTTATAGCCTGTGTTCTGTCCTGGGCTTGCGTAATAGCCAGGAAGGTGGGAGGGCTCAAAAGGTCATGCTGAAGTTCCACGCAGTTACAGAGGAGGCTAGGTTGTTCTCCGGCCTCCTGATGAGAGCCAGGTGGGGGAGGCACCAGAAGTCTCCAGGCTGCCCTTGGCCAGCTCATGGGACTAAAGGAATGGGGGAGACATCCAGGAGGCTGCTTCTGTCCCAGGTCTCATCCCTCCCTGTTCTCTAGGAATGTAAGCCTCTGGCCCAACACTGTCTCAAGGCCAGGGTGTGCCTTCGCAATATGCCCAACCCACCATGTGGACTGTCCACCAAGGAACCCACGAGGAAGGCTTGCCAAAAGCATACGTCTACTACTGGAGTTGCACACACAGACTAACATACTTTCCAGTCCTCACGGATAAGAACAGACCTAATTATGTCCTGGCTCAATTTACCCCTCCTCCAATCAGGCTGCCCAGGGCTGGCTAGAGGCCAGCCTAACAAAAATGAAAGGAATGACCCCAACACTGGGTTCCCCCACTTCTTAACATTTCTTTCTGGTTTTTCCAAACCATTCCCTTTCCATTTAGTATTTGGGGATGAGGGTTGCCCCGGGGAGCTCTGGGAAAGGAAAACAGAAGAAACCAAAAAAGTGAGAATTCAAAGGAAGGCTGAGGAAGATAGGACTCCCTAAGCTCCACTGGGTACTCCTACCCCAGAAGTGGAGTCCACTTCTGTGCCACAGGTTCAGCTGTCGCTCTAAATGGCAGGGAGGGCGTAAGGAAGAGCAGCCAGGTACCCTCTGAAGCACAGGGAGGACCACTCACCGGGGAACCCCCGGAATGGCTAGGAGGCTGGGAACCCAGTCTTGCAGGGTTTTAAGCAAACACTAATGAGAAAGAAAAAAGACGGGGGAAAAACTTGGTTGTTCCTCGTCTCTACGTATTAGAATTCACCCCAGTAAGAGTCCTTTCTTCCAAAGCAGGAGACGACCCAAGTCCCCAGATTTCTCACAGCTGCCATCCCTACACCTCCCGTCTTTTCTGGAATCAAGCGCAGTGTGACGACGTCTCCCCTTCGTCCAACGTCAGCTGGGTTTGCCCTCGATCCAGTTTGAGTGCAAGCAAAGCCATCCTTCCCCGAGTATCAGACTAGGGCGGACTCCGCAGGCCCTCAGACCCCGGAGACCCTCGACAGGAAGACGCGCGGGGTGAGTGGTGGGAGGGAAGGCCGGGGGAGGGGCGCGTGGGGAGGAACGGAAACGGCGGCCTTTGTTTATCGCGCAGGGACCCAGTTGATCCCATCTGGGGGTTCGCCAGCCGGGCACCCGCCCTTCTGCCCGGACTGAGGCTTCTGTCGCCCGCCGCTGGTCCAGGCAGAGTTTGACCGCGCTCTGAAGCTCGGACTCCAACCTCCCCTCTCCCGCAACCGCCGCTTCTCCCCGCCGGGGCCCTGCACTCACAATGCACTCGCGGACCCTCTCGTGGAAGAGCTGTTCTCGCACCGATAGCACTTCGTAGTCAGCTGCTTCCATACTCTGCTCAGCATGACTGGAGCAGGGGTGCCTCCGGGCCCGGGTAGGACGAGCGGGGAGGAAGCCGCCGCCGCCGCCGCCGCCGCCGCCGCCGCCGCCGCCGAGCACCCGGACCCAGCCTAGGAGCCTTTCCTCGCAGCCTGCGACAGAAACTCGGAGCAGTCTGGGGCTCAGACACAGTCGTCCCCACGCCCCGCCCTTAAAGGGGCAGGCACCACCCGCCTAGTTTTAAGTGCTCTGGCGTCCTTTTGCTCCCTCCCCTTTAAGGTAGGGCCGCCGTCAAGTTTCAACGCAAACACCCGCCACTAGGCTAGCTATAGGGAAGCGCTGCTGAGGTTCCATCTTTTTAAGAGATTGAGTGACGACACAAGGGATAGGCGGGTTCCTTCCAGGGGGAGGAACTCATTGGCTCCTGGAGAGCTGCCGCTCATCGCTGGAAGAACGTTGATAGGCTCGCCCCGTGAAGGAAGGTGGGATCTTTTGGGCCTACCGCTGCTCCTTCTAAAATTGAGCAACTGTCTTTCTTATCTCGAAAAGTGACGGTTCCTGGATTTCACTAGCAGCCGGGATTTTAGTTTGACCTTGGTTAAATGAACCATTTGGATCAGTCCAGCCAGGCAGGACGTGAGGGCACCCTAGGGGTTCTGAAAGGTACCGCTGCCCAGTAACCCATGGTAGCAGGATTTTCTGTGTGTTTGTGTTGGGGTGCTCCTCCCCACACCCTCACTCTGCCTTCCTGCCGCCAGGAGTTTTCACCTAATCATTTTTGTGGAAGGCCTAGTGTGTGCTAGATCAAATACTGAAAAATACTGGATGGAGATCTGTAGAAATATTCTGAAACTTTGTGAAGAAGAACCCTCAAGGATCGTTGAAGAGTGGGGCTGAGTCAAACATTAGTTAACCCCTTACTATGTGCCATTCACCTTATAGTCTTTATCTCAGTCATGTTACCCAGGCTGATCTGGAACTCCTAGCCTCAAAGTGCTGGCCCTCCCAAAGTGCTGAGACCACAGGTGTGACCTACCCAGCCAATTATCTCATTTTTAACATGACAACAACCCTTCAGAGGAAGGTATTGTGATTTGGCTTTTTATTTTATTTTTGAGACCGAGTTTTGCGCTTGTTGCCCAGATTGGAGTGCAATGTTGCAATCTCGGCTCAATGCAACCTCTGCCTCCTGGGTTCAAGTGATTCTTCTGCCTCAGCCTCCCAAGTAGTTGGGATTACAGGCATGCGCCACCACACCTGGCTAATTTTGTATTTTTGGTAGAGACAGGGTTTCTCCATGTTGGTCAGGCTGGTCTTATCTCAAACTCCTGACCTCAGGCAATCTGCCCGCCTCAGCCTCCCAAAGTGCTGGAACTACAGGCGTAAGCCACCTTGCCCAGCCAATAAGTAACTTAAAAAAAGAATTTAGAAGAGGTGGAAATCCCTTCAGGAAAGGATTGGAGAAAAGATTTTTCTTTATTTTTTGTGTGGTTGAGTCTTGGAAGTAGATGTGATTTAGATGAAGGGAGATTTGATTTTGGTTTTGTTTTTTGTTTTAAGTTATTAATTTAGCCGGGCGCGGTGGCTCAAGCCTGTAATCCCAGCACTTTGGGAGGCCGAGGCGGGTGGATCACGAGGTCAAGAGATCGAGACCATCCAGGTCAACATGGTGAAACCCCGTCTCTACTAAAATACAAAAAATTAGCTGGGCATGGTGGCG